TATCCCGCAGGTTGTCTCTGACACCTACAGGTACACATTCACACACCCGTGCACGCGCACATTCACGCACGCAAGCATGCACACGCGTGCACACACAGAAAGAAATGTAATAAAAAAAAAAAACACTTTAAAAGTAGTCCCAAGATGATGGAGCTGTGGTGGTTAAGAGCAGTGGCTGCTCTTGCAGAGGACACAGGTTCAATTCCCCGCACCCACCTGTGGCTGCAGCAGAATAGAACTCCAATTCCAGGGTACCCAGCACCCTCCTCTGGCCTCTTTGGGCACCAGGCACACACTCAAATGCAGAGGCGTGCAGGCAAACACTCATACACATAAAATAGAAGTGAGCCGATCTCTAAAGGAATGTCCTAAAGCAAAATTAGAGGCCTGGTCTCCAGTGAGTGGCTAAGCCTTCTGGACCGGATTTTGTTTCTTCTTGCTGAAAATCTTGAGCTTGCAGTGACACTGAAGAGTCGCAGGAAATGAACATACACAGGGCAGGGCGCTTGCCTCTGTGTGTGTGTGTGTGTCTGTGGAACTCTGCTGCGCCTCTCACTAAGTTTCCTGGGGGCAGGGGGGATCCTGTGGCTGCAACACGTGGCACACAGATCCCCACATCCATTTTATTGGACATGCTCTTGTCTAGGTGTTTGAGTCAGCTCCTGGCTGCTGGCTTCCCCAAGCATGAGGGGAACTGGGAGAAGAGGTGACTGCAGCGATGCGTGTGTGAATCCCCCCCCCCCCACACACACACCCATGCCTGGTTTTCCTTCCTGGAATGCACATGAGCCTCCGTGTCTACACACTCATTACACGTACAAACACAAGGCGGTGGCATTTGAAAGCAGGAAAAACAGCGTATCACCTCCCCCCCTCAGTCCCGGGAGCTTCCTGGTGACAGGCTGAGCTGTCCAGTCATTTTACAGCAACTGGCTCTCACTTTTGTCATTCTTCCCAGCTTAGTGCAACAACGCTGTCAACGAACATACCGTTAATTCACAATAAGCTGCGCAGCCTTAGAGATGCCCCCAGCTTAAAACTCAGCAAACTGTTAACACATCTTGTGCTCACGCTACCTTTCTATGATAAGATGACTTGGGACTATTTCCTACTCTTTTCTCCTTAAGGCAGGCGCCCATGTAGCCCAGAATGCTCTTGAACTTCTGATTCCCGTCTCTGCCCTCAATGTGCTGGGACTGGAAGCTTGTGCTGCCTTGCTGGTTTTAAATTGGCCGCCTTCGTTTTCCTCTTCTTGCTTTCTGTGGTCCCAGCAGCACTAGCAGGCTTTTAACAACTCCATCCAGAGTCCATGAAGCTCCGCTAATTGTTCTCTGTCTTTAACTCAAGCACAGGCGCAAGTATGTGTGTGTGTTTATATATAGTTGCGTGCATGCTGTGAAGGCCACATGCCCATGTTGGGTGTCTTCCTCCAGCTTCCATTTTATTTTATTTTATTTTTATCTATTCTATTTTATTATTTTATTTTATGACAGGGATTTTCAGTGATCTAGAGCTCACTGGCCCCGGTCTCACTGATTTGGCGAGACTAGCTGGCTGGTGAGCCCTTTGGCCTCCGCCATATTTGTTTCCGAGCACTGGCCTTTCTTATGTGGGTTCTGGGGACCAAACCCAGGTCTTCTTGCTTACAAGGAAAACATTTCATTGACTGAGCCATCTCCCCAGCCTTACCTTCCTTAATTGGATAATTTCTATTAATTACTTTTAGATGTGCTTCCCCTAAATCTACCTAAGGAAAAAAAAATAATAATAGTTTTACTTCTCTACTCTAAAATTCCCAGTTGACTCTTCCATGGCTCTGTTTTTTCTTTATTAGTTCCTTACTAGCAAGGAACTAATGTTTCCCACTATCTCTGGATCACAGTTATGATGGAATTCAAATCCTTACCTTCAGATCCCCGCATCTGGGTCACATCAGGACTATTTTCTGTCCATTCCTCTTCTCCCAAGAACAGGTCACATCTTCCTAACTTTCCATAGGCCACTTGACTTTGGATTCTAAGCCAGGCATTGTGAACCCTATCATGTGGAGACTGTAGATCAGCGGTCCTCAACCTGAGGGTCACAACCCCTTTAGGGGTCAAAGCACCCTTTCACAGGGTTCGCTTAAGACCGTCAAAAATCACAGGTATTTACATTGTGGTTCCTAACGGTAGCAAAATTACAGTTGTGACGTATCGAGGAAAGTAATTTTATGGTTGAGGGTCGCCGCAGCATGAGCCACTGTGTTGAAGGATGGTGGCAGAACCATGGCTTTAGATTCCATCTCATCGGAAACACAGCAGTGAGGATTTTTTTTTTCCCTTAAAGGTAAATAAACTTGTTTAGACCAGCTACCCCCACCCCATGTGACTGCTCAGACTCAGTTCGCTCCCTTCCCACTCAGTTCACACTTCTTTTAGCTCACCCCTCATGAGCATGCTTCAAAGGTCTGCTGGAGACCTCTACTGAATCCAGGACACAATTTGGGAGTTCCTCCTGCTCTGATTCTCATCTCTCTGCTTGTTTCACTGCCTTGGCGGTTTAAGGCTCCCTTTCTTGGCCAGAAGAGGGCTTCAGGTCTCCTGGAGTGAAGTTACAGGGGAGCCGCCCAGTGTGGCTGCTCAGTACCCTTTGCTCTTTTGACTCTCTCTAGTGACTTCATTTCCTCTCCTCGCTCTGATATAGCCCCTCTGGGTTCACCCTCATGCTTTGTGGATGTTTCTGTAGTGTTCTGTTAGTTCTGCTTAGTTATCTGTTCCCTGGCAAGACTGAGATCGGCAGGGACACAGTCATGCTGCCTTTCCTGAACTGTTCACGGCCTTCCTCCACACTGTCCGCTATACAGAAGATGCACGCTATTTTTAAAAACTGATTTTATCCCACTTTCATAAATGTTAATTTTTAACTTCTCTGGGTATTTAATAGCATACAAAGAATCCCTGTGTAATTAAACAAAACATGTTCACCCTTCCCTAAGTGCCAGTCCAGGCAAACTTCCTAACTCCCTCTCTTATGCCCCCTGATGGTATATTCTGGCCTGGTACTCCGTGAAACCTTCAAGATTAAAACCCCTTGTACTAGAGAAGGACAGGCCACAAGGGCTGACATTGCTAGCAAGAAACTAGCAGGAAACTTTTCTCTTTTCTTATAAATAGGAGAGTACAGGAGAGTGTGCCTCGCCCCTAGTAAACCAGCACCTTTCTTTCATTCTAAAGACTGGGTGACAAAGCACACAGTTAGTCTGTCATAGCTCACTTGTTGCCGGGGCTTGGTGAACGCCTTCTCTCCACAGTCAGGACCTCATGCAGACCAAGATTTTACACAACAGCTCTTGGCACTGCTCATTCAGATGAGAGCCACTGAGTGGCAACCCACATCCCTTCAAACCAAATAACCTTCTGTGTGCCTGGGACCTCTTTTTAAAAACCCTTCCTGATTTTAAGCTTTATTTATTTATTTTTTATGTGTATCAGTGATTTGCCTGCATTCCTCTCTAGGCACCATAAGTGTGCGGTGCCCTGAAGGCACTAGAACCCATAGACCTGGAGTTACGGACAGTAGTTAGCTGCTCATGTAGGGGTAGGAAGCAACCTTGGTTCCTCTATAAGAGCAGCTGGCCCTCTTCTTAACCAGTGAACTGTCTGTCCAGGTCCTTCCCCAGGACATTGAAACGTCCATGTGACATTTAGTACTGGAGACCAGGACTTCAGCTCAGCTCAAACTAGAAAAGAGAGAGAAAGAGAGACATATGCTGTACATTTTTTCTGGTTATATACATAACATGCCCATTGTATTTATTTATACATTCATTCAGTAAATTTTATCTTGTGTATGTTACCCATCAAGCTTCAGGAATCGGGCCAAGAAAATCGATAGGGTCCTTTACGGTTTTAAAATTGAGTTTTATCATTACAAAAAAATATACATAAAAGAGACTGTTAAAAATTAATTAAGGAGTTGGAGAGATGGCTCAGCTGTTAAGGCCCTTGCTACTCCTGCAGAGGACTCAGGTTCGGTTCTCAGCACCCATGTCAGACAGTTCACAGGTGCCTATAACTTCAGCTCCAGGGATCTCACACCCCTTGGAGGCCAGAAGAGGGGGCTGGATCCGATAGATCTCGGGGGAAGCTGAGCCAGCCTCATCCTCGGCTTTATTCTTGCCCCTTTGCCCTTAATTTTCCCCGTGGGGCACATTTCCAATTCCTGGGCATCTAATCATCAGCTTATGCAATGTTTGGCTCCAGTTTAAAAAAAAATCATGAGAAGTATATAGAATGCTAATTTTAATCCCAAGGAGCTCATTCTAGTTTATATGTTTGAGATTCTGAATTTTTCCACACCTATGAAATACTAATTATTCAGTTATAGAGGCATTTCCCACTAAATTAAATTAATAGACTTACTCATTTTATAGCTTAGTAAGGGAGTGTTAAAAGTTGAGTTGCACCTTATTTATAATGCAAAAAATGTGATAAATATCTAACTGGCCATCGTATGAGACTAGTTAAAGAAATACTGTACATCCGCACAATGGGATACTGTGTTTCAGTTACCGTAGTTCGCTGACACAAAAAGAAAACTATTAAGTTTGGGGAGATATCTGCGATACATTGGTGTGTGTGTGTGTTCACAGACACGTGACAGAGCTCATGGGGAGGTTATAAGACAACTTGTACGGTTCGGTTCTTTCCTTCTACCTTGTGAGTCCTGGGGTTCAAACTCAGGTCATCAGCTTTGGCAGCAATCACCTTGACACAGTGAGCTATCTTAACATCCCCACGACAAATTGCTGATTGAAAAAAAAAGCAGATTATGCTACAGACCCTCATGTGTTGTTTCCGTCTATGTACAACTTTATGTGCATGCGTGCACACATGGAGAGCTTTGTATTGTGGTAGAATCGCTGTATTTCTTTGACACCAACTCTGTAAGACACACCTTATGGTGAATGTCGGTGCTGCAGGCTTGCTTTACTAAAATTGCTTTCCTCTCGTCTCTAGAATAATGAACTACAAAGCAGGTTGGACTATTTGACAGAAACCCAGCCCAAGACTGAAGTGGAAACCAGGGAAATTGGAGTGGGCTGCGATCTTCTACCCAGGTATTTAGGAATTTCCTGTTTTTCTGACAAAAATCCTTCCTTGACTGAAGAGAAAATATTTTACTGGGCTGTGACGAACAGAATCCAATCCTTCCTATAACAATACAGCTCTCAAGCTAAGTGGTGACTTCTGAGTAGGCAGAGGAATTGTGGGAGGTGGAGGGGACAGTGAAGGAGAGGACTGAAGAAGCCATGGCTGTCAGTTACTGCATGCCTTTGCTCATTCATTCACCTATTCATTTATTCAGCAAAATGTACCAGACAGTTAGGTTGCACAGAGAAGTGAGATTGATTCCTGCTCCATGGCAGAGAATGGAGAGGGGGACAAATGAGGAACAAAAACCAACTGTTTCTTAGTACCATAACTGAGTTCATTCAAATGTCTGGTTTGAATCTGGTTCATCGTGATGATCTTCTTAGAATGTGTCCTGGCCAGTTTTATGTCAGCTTGACAGAAGTTAGTGTCATCTGAGGGGAGAGAGCCTCAGTTGAGAAAATACCTCCGTAAGATCCAATCGTAGGGTATTCTCTTAATTAGTGATTGATGAAGGAGGGCCCAGCCCACTGTGGGTGGTTCTATCCCTAGGCTGGTGGTCCTGGTTTCTATAAGAAAGCAGGCTGAGTAAGATATGGAGAGCAAGCCAGTGAGCAGCACTCCTCCATGGCCTCTGCATCAGCTCCTGCCTCCAGGTTCTTGACTTGTGTGAGATCCTGTCCTGACTTCCTTCAGTGATGAACAGTGATGTGGAAATATAAGCCAAATAAACCCTTTCCTGCCCAAGTTTCAGCAGGAAAGGTATGATAGCAAGGACAGCAATGATAACCCTAAGACAGTCTATAACTCTAGCTTCGTTACCAAGTTAGATTTCAGCTGCTCCCCACAACAGGTCTGTGTCCTGCTGAGAGCCTGTGATTTAGTGTCCTGCCTCTAACTGAAACAAATTTGCCATGGCTAGGTCCTCAATTGTGCTCAGCCCAGAGGATGTGAAACAGTATATAATATGGCTACTAATGTAGTGTGTGTTGTGATTTAGGTCATCAAAGTCATGAAGTACCAGGTCCTGGTGTCATGAGAGCAAGAAAGGACTCTTTACACGCATGTGCATTTGTGTGTGCTGTGCTATGCTAGACAAACATCCAGAAAAAATGTCAGATCCCGGGACCTTTAATAGTAACATCTGGTGGGAATGAGTGACCAGCCCATTGCTCAGCTGGGGTGTGGAATGCCTGGGTCTGGTCTGGCTAACCACCTGCAGCCTGGCGTCTAGGGATTCTCTCCACGCTGAGGCCTTGGCCTCCCTGTCTGTAAAGTCAATGGTTTTACCGAGTCTCCAGCATCACTGATGTGGTACAGTGAGACCTCATTTCCCTATTTTAAGTGTGAGACTGATGGGCTCTTGAGGATTCAATCCAGCCACTTGTCATTGTCAGAAGAACTGACTAATGGCATTGTTGAACTTTCTTTGCCAGTTTTCTGATCTCCAGGCAAACAAGGCAATTTTACCACTCGAACAGAATTAACAGAAAATGCTTTTTTGAAGAAAGATAACAATACATAAAGTAGACTCAGTGTCTCACCAGCGTATGACACAATTTACTCGATGAAAATATAAGCAAAAGAATGACTGATTGTGTTTGGGGACCCTTTTTGAAATATAAGTAATTTGGCCATTTCCCTCTTTCTCAGGCTTTTCAGAAATCAAGTGTCTCAACTCACTCTAATTCCCCACATCATAAATCTTGTTTGGCCAAGACGGGCACAAAACCATGTCTGAAACCAATAAATTGTTTGTTTTCTGATTCCCACATTTTGGCTTAAAACAAGCTTTTCAATTTGTACACCCGAGGATAGCCGGAGGCAAACTTTTATGGCTGCGTTATGAAACCACAAAACAGTTTTCATAATGGAAGTGCTGACAGACCCTTAACTTATGGCCACAGTGAACCTGGAAGGCATGTCAGAATCGAAAGGCAGCTTTTCCATAAATGTAACATTTGGGTCTCCCTCAGGATCCATTGCGGCAGTTTGACTGCTTAGGTCAGTCAGCGGAGGAAATGAAAACTACATAACCACATTTCCGAAAGGGCAGAATAATATTTCACCCGTTTCCTCTCAAATATTTATGAAGTGCCTACTATGTGAAAAGCACCCCAGGTCATAGGGGCGAGGAGAGCTCCTGAGCTATCCCCAGGCAGGGTTTCCACTTGGCTTCTTACAAACGCTTTGCCCTGCTGCTGGAGCTTCTGAGGAGCCGTGGGGGACGGAGGGAGAGGTGGATTATTTAAGTGCTCCCTGGGCATCCTTCTTAGCATCAACTAACCTAACCCAGCACGTAGTTTTGCATGTCAGAATCTAAGTAAGACTGGCTTAAATAGAGGCCCTGGGGCGAAAACAGACCAGAACCCGATAGTCTAGAAGAACCCCTGCTTTTCAAAGGAAGCGAACCTGAGGTCCAGAGAAAACAGAAACTCACTGGAAGCTGCCCAGCCTGGGGGTAGGCAGGTTTCCAAGGCTGGGTGCCGCCGTTTGTAACCGGAAATGACTCCATTAAGTTGAGGGTTCCTGGGCTGGCAGCATGGGTAACGGTGCCTGCCACCAACCCTGACGACCTGAGTTTGATTCCTGAGACCCACGTGGTGGAAGGATCCTGTGACCTCTCTGTGCACATGCAGACACACACAAGAAAGGGAAGAAAAGCCGTGTTCCATGTGTTGACAAAAGCCTTTTTTCTTACATGGACTTCAAACGTATATCCAAAAAGTGAATTAATTATTCTGTGCTATTTTCCAGAACTGTTTTAAAGTTTTGAATGATTTGTATTCTGGTTTGGTTGAGACGGGAGACCCTTGTATCTGTGTTGGTCAAGAGCTCACTGTGTAACTGAGGAAGACATTCAGCTCCTGAGCCTCCTGCCTCTACCTCCCAAGCGCCATCCCCCGCACCTGGCCCACAGTGCTTTTATACAGACATCTCCTCCACAGTGTCTTTGATCAGAAAGGACTGAATCTAGCTGCCGTTAGACAGAAGCGTTTTGTTCATTCTCCTGCTGCAAAGAGCTCGGCGGTGTAGCACCGTTGAGTGAGGGTGCTCTGCCTTGCCAGCTGCTCGCTGATTACAGCCTTGTGCAGGCAGATGAAGCTTTCTGAACCTTGGACATGTTCATCCTCAGACTGGGAAGGAGGATGACAGTTTTCAGTCTTGATGTGTTGCTGTAAGGATTAGATGAAAAGATGTCTAAAGCAGGTAACATCATCATCATCATCATCATAATAATAATAATAATAATAAAAATAGCCATTAAGGGGCAGGAGAGACAGCTCAGTTAAGAGTACTTACTGCTCTTGCGGAGGACCGGTGTTTGGTTCCTAGCATCCTTGTTGGGTGACTCACAACCACCACTAACTCTAGCTCCAAGGGCTTCAATGACCTCATCTGTCTCTGTAAGAACCACACTCATGTATGAAAAACCCAGACACACAATTGTTTTTAAATAGCCACTGCACTATTAACTAAACACCAGTCCTGATTTTTATATGTTGGACAGTGTATCCAACATAAATGAGCTTGGGTTTGCTAAGGTGATTTTTGTTAACTTAGTTTTACAGGTAGTTATCATGGATAGGTAGCCTAGTCAAATATACAGAGCTTCGGTGTGCCTGGACCGCCTCAGTTAAACCCTCGGTGGCTTTAGATCCTCCAGACAGTGTGTCAGAGAGTGGAGCCCCTGGGGAGTCAGCTGAGACCCAGGAGTGAGCTTGTGTGTTCCAGATACTGCAGGCGCTCACCATGGGGAGCAGGAGCCCTCCCACTCTCTTCTCACACCTGCAGGCCCTGGAGTATAACTCACAACCAGGGCTGCCCCGGAAAGTTGTCGTGCTGAAAGGCAAAATTGCGTTGACCTCTTTAGTCATACTGGCAGTAACCTCCCTCTTCCAACACACCCCTTCACATTGCCCCCTTTCCTGCCAGCATCGTGAATGCCTGGGAATGGGGGTCCGGGTTTCCTCCCACCGAGGGCATTAGTCTCCTGACTACTAATGAAATGAATGTAATGAAATAGCAAGGCCAGTTAGAAAGAGAAATGTGTATTGTGTTGACTGTGTTTTCCAAGATCTTTTGGTGAAGGCACTGCATGGTGGAGCAAAAACTGTTTACACCATGATCCAGGAAGCAGAAATAGAATAACTTAGGGTAGGGTTCCACAACACCCTTAAAACACTCCCCGCCCCCTTGCCTAAGACTTTCCTGTGAGGCCACCTCTTACGGGTCCCACCACCTTCTAGTGCCCCAGGGGGGCCCAAACCTTTGATTCCTGAACCTCTTTGGAAAGCAGGCATCCAGACTATTGAATCTGGCATTTAGTTGTTGCTCAGTAAGCATTTTTTTTTTTTAAATGAGTAAGTGAGAGATCTACAGCAAGTGGGGATTTAGGCAGCTGACCTGTGTTAGGGCCTAACTTAGAAGAGTCGGCACTGGCCTGTGCTTTGCTGTTCGCATTTGTCATCATGAGAGCAGAAGGTTTTCTTCCTTTGCTGAGTCCCCGTCTCCCTGAGACACGCTCAGAACGGTGCCTGTGAAATAGGCGTTCAATCCATCCTTGTGCTGCACGGCCTCTTACAGTCTTCAACGGTCCTTCCTAGGCAGAACAATACTTGCCTCTTGTTATAGGCTCTAGCTCTCTCTTGATCCCCCTGGACTTGATCCTTCTTCTCTCCTGTGCCTCCCTCTCCTCAGAACACCTCATTTCTGCAAAGACCACACCAGTCTGTAGCACTGCCTTCCTTCCCCGTGGCCGAGCCTTTTTGGAACACAAGCCTGCATTCCTTCCAGCCTCTGGCCTCTGCAGTCCTCCAGCTGGTGGTTTTGGTCCTCTACAGGCCATTTCCAGGCTACCTGTATGAGCCTTTTCTCCAGTCAGTTCTTGAAAGTGGTTAAGATGCCTGCTTGTGGGTTAGACCTGAATCTGTGTCCGGGATCTACCCCTTGCCTTTTGTGTGGCTTTGAGCGAATTCAGAATCCTCTGACTTTTTGCTTCCTCACCTTGAAAAGAAAATTTTGACTGGGGAGGCTGATGCAGGAGGATCAACATTTCCAAAAGGAAGGAGGGGAGATTTGGGGATCAACTCTTCTGTTTCAAGAATTTTCTCTGCTGGGGAGGGGCCAAGGGTACAATATATACTCTCCCAATAAGGTTCCAAGGACAATCTGTTCCACCAAAGTTCCTCTGGGGAACCAGTGAGTTTGTTGGGCTTGCTTGCAGGGCATGGGTGAGGGGTTACTGACAGGAGCATGGGGCACTCCAAGCGGCAACCCTAGAAACTTATCGCCTAGCATATGTGATAGCTTCCCCCACAGCCACACAGATAGAGCCCCCTCCTCCTAGTTCTCCCAAGCCTGTATACTCTAGCCCCAACCCAAGACCCCGAGGACACTATCAGTTAGGAAAACTGAATACAACTGGCTAGGAAAATGGTTGGATACTCAGGGCCTGTGGCCCTCCCTGCCCTCCCCTCCTGCAAGGCCAGTAGCAAGCCAGCCCAGCTGTGAATACCGTGTACCAGGAGGCCCATGTGGCCGCTTTGCTGGGAGGACTTTCCTGTACACCACTGCCAAAGCTTCCTTCCAAGTGGACAGCACAGGGTACCCAGCCTGAACACTTGCATGGTCATAATCCGTGGGTGTTTCCACCATTCTTCTGTGACCTTTAGCACAGCCATAGCTCAGCCATGATTGCTTTGCCCGTGAACTCACTTGCTTTCCTGGGCTATCACTTTCCTTCCTGACTCCTTGCTCTCTTCAGTCATCCCAACACCCATCTTCCCTCCTTGTCTCCAGTTTCCTGTCCTTGTGCTCCTCCTCTGTCTCATCTTTTCCTTGTGTTTATTTCTAGTGAGCCAGCATCTCATACAGTGAGAACTTGAGGGGTGACTTGCCCTGAGCACAAGGGTTTCAAACACCTGTTCTTGTGTTCATGGTTTGCAAGAATGATACATAATAATTGGTCATTGAGAGTAACTTGAGGTTATCTGGCCTCTGAGTACAGAGAAAGAAGTGAGAGAGAAAAGAGACTTCTCTCTTCTGCTCCTTAATGAGTTGTAAGCTCATATCTTTTAGGGAAAAATTAGATTTTCTTTTAATGTTCTGGATATCCTCTTTTATTTTATATGCACGAGTGTTTTGCCTGCATATACATGCACCACATATGCTTGGTGCCCGTGGGGGCCAGGAAAGGGCATCCGATCTCCTGAAACTGGAGTCACTAGGTCATCTGCAAGAGCAGCAAGCACCCTCAACTGCTGAGCCGTCTCTTCAGCCCATCTTAGTAGGTGCAGTTTGGTGGCAGATATCCCCCACGGCCATTAGTGCCCTGCACATAGTAAGTGCTTTACAGGCTTGTATTTTCACATTTCTGTTGTAGAGATTGAAATATAAGATAGCTCTTTACCAAAGCTTTGGGGATTTTTGGTTCTGGGAGTGGCCCCGCCTCCAGCGAAACTGCTCCTCTGTGGATTCACAGAAGGTTAGCGGGACCCCAACTGTGTTCCAGAACACAGGCAAATTTCAGTGCTGCAATTGAAAAGACTTAGGCTCTTGAAGTCCTCCTGCTTCCTAGTGATCAGTTTAATAAAATGCCCCCACCTCTTGCATTTTTGAAAGGTTTGGATATGAGCGCCTGTTTTTGAAACCCAGAAGGTTCACCTTTATAAATATTTCTGCATTTTATGAGCTTTTAGGATATTGTCACAGGAGACCATTTCTGTTGCATGGAATTTTCATAGGAGTTGGCACACAAGGCCATCTGGTTTCTGCCCCTGCTGTTCTTCTAATCTGCCCAGCCAGGTCACCAGGGACTTCTTATAGTGCCACACCCCAGGGATGCCTGTCTGTGGGCAGTGACACTGGGACCACCCCCTCCTCAAACTCACTCTGGTTTCCGTCCTTATGTCTACGTGGACCGAGAGCTCAGCCTTTGGGAGCTGCTGAGGTCACAAAGATCAATGAGATGTGGTTTTCACTCTCAGAGAAATGAGACCTAGCGATGGACGCAGATGCCAATTAGTGTGATAGCAGACACTGCCACTGATGTGTCAGAGCCTGGGCAGCTGTGATTCTCGGTGTGCCTGGGGAGTGTGATGTATAGAAAAAATACTGGATCTCTCTTGCGTGGCACGGTACCTGGGGAGTTAGGGAACCAATGACAGACCAAAGTAGGGATACCATCAAAGTCCAACTCAGTGAACCAATGAGTTTTATTGGGATTACTTTTGGGATTACTTACAGGAGCTAAAGGGGTTGGAAGACAGATATATCAGCAGAAGATATATACCCCAGTGTGGGTAAAAGCTGTGGAGCTGGAGCACACTGCCCAGGTAACTCAACAGGTTGGAGAGTTCTTTCCAAGTAGCTCACATGGTCTGAGCCTTTTCAGGCAACTAGCCTGGTCCTCTCCTCCTCCCCTTCTTTTAGTTTTTTGAGACAGGATCTCACTGAATGGTTTTGGCTGATTTGGGACTTGCTATGTAGACTAGGCTGGCCTTGAACTTGCAGAGATATGCCTGCCTCTGCCTCCTGAGTAGATTAAAGCCGAGATTAAAGGCACGTGCCACCACTCCTAGCTTTGGTCTCTGCCTCTCTCAAGAAGCTTGGCTGATCTGCAAGTGCCTCTCAGCTGTCTTTGCTTGCTTATATATGCTTGCAGAGTGATCTTGGATCTGGAACTGACAGGCAGTGGTGATCCCAGCACTTGGGAGGCAGACACAGGAGGATCTCTGAGCTCAAGGCCAGCCTGGTCTACAGAGTGAGTTCCAGGACAGCCAAGGTTACACAGAGAAACCATCCTAAAAAAAAAAAAAATCTGTTATAGCAGCTTTATTTGTAATAGCCAGAACCTGGAAACAACCCAGATGTCCATCAACGGAGGAATGGGTACAGAAATTGTGGTATTTTTACACAATGGAATACTACTCAGCAATCAAAAAGGAGGAAATCATGAAATTTGCAGGCAAATGGTGGAATCTAGAAAAGATCATCTTGAGTGAAATATCCCAGAAGGAGAAAGACAAACACGGTATATACTCACTTATATAGACCTATAAGATATAATAAACATAATGAAATCTATACACCTAAAAAAGATAATCAAGAGAGCGGACATGGAGTAAGATTATCAATCCTCGTTTTGAAAGACAGATGGGATACGCATTGAACATTGACAGGAGTCTACTGAGCGCATTGGAAAGACTCTAACTAGCGGTGTTTTCAAAGCAAAGACCCATGACCAAACCTTTGGCAGGGTGCAGGGAATCATAAGAAAGAAGGGGAGTTAGACTGATGAGGAAAGGATAGGAGCTCCACAAGGACCAAACATATCTGGGCACAGGGTCTTTTCTGAGACTGACATGCAACCAAGGACCATGTATGAATGTAACCTAGAACCTCTGCTCAGATGTAGCCTGTGGTAGCTCAGTAACCAAGTGGTTTCCCATAGTGAGGGGAACAAGGACTATTTCTAACAGGAACTCAATGACTGGCTCTTTGGCCTCCCCACCCCCTAAGGGAGGAGCAGTCCTGTTAGGCCACAGAGGAGAGCTTTGCAGCCAATCCTGAGGATACCTGATAAAACAGGATCAGATGAATGGGGAGGAGGTCCCCCCTATCAGTGGACTTGGCAAGGGGCACGGTGGAGAGGAGGGAGGGAGGGAGGGACTGGGAGGGAATGAGGGATCAGGACACGGCTGGGGTACATAGTTAATAAAATGTAACTGATAAGAAAAAAATAAAATACGAAAAAAAAAAAAATCTGACAGCCCTGACCCTCACCCGTCTGTTACAGCCTGCACCACTTTTCGATAACTGGATGTGGGAAGTTAGTGTGGAGGACGCTAACTGTTATGCTTCCTGCAGTGTACTTGGTCATTGTGTTGTTGGGGTAAAGAATGTAGCTGTGGTACCTTTAAGCCTTGGTGGCTCACTTTCATATGTCCATATCACAGTTCAAGGCAGGTTGAATTGGGCCTCAGGATTCTAGGATTCCTTGGGCACTGGAGTTCTCTTGGACCTACCCTCCTCACCCAAACTCCTACCTAAAAGAGAAGGTGGACATGCAAGATAACGTGCATGGTTGTACCAGTTAAACCCCCAAGTGTTGTGAATCTTTTCTGCCCATTCAGTATCATTTCATGACAGTTCTGCTCGTGGTTCACCTAATTGCAAAGGAGGCTGGGAAATGTAGTTAGATATTTGGTCAAAATGGACTAGGAGCTAAAGGGGCAAATGTTTACTTCTTGTGCTGGCGGCTAGTCCAAGATGAACGCAGCAACAGATTCAGTATCTGGCTAGAATGTGCTTTGTGGCTCACAGACAGTACCTTTCCTGTGTCCTCACTTGAAGCTCTCTGAGACCTCTTGAAAGGGCACTAATCCTTATCATGAGGCCTCTGTCCTCATGTTCTCATCACCTGTCGTCACTGCTCTGGGGGGTCAGGATCTCCGCTCTGAATTTGCAGGGACAAAAATATTCAATCCAGGGCAAATCCCTTTTATAGAGTTTCTGTGAAGCACTCAACTGCATTATCAGTCACCACGTTTTTAGTTTTCAGTGCTGAGGTCTTACCACATGAAGCGTGTGGAGGGCTTTATCTCATTTTCCTCTTCTTCTTTTTGTCATTTCTCAGCCCCACAGGCAGGACTCGTGAAATCACAATGCCTTCCAGGAGTTACACCCCGTACACACGCGTCCTGGAATTAACCTCAAAGAAAACGCTGACTTAGGCACTCGGAGACACGCGCCTTCGTGCAGATGCTGAAAGGCCCTGGAACCCTGTGACTTAAAAAGTCTGGAGAGAGTGATGATTGCTTCCTCGTAGACATGGTGTAAGGCAGAATGGAAATCTCGGGCAAGTGGAGGCAGAGAGAACGAGCAAGCACCAGTTCGCGAGGTCGTCTTTCAGATACATACCCAACCCTGTCTACACAGAGTCATCATTTGTATTCCGTGTGGAGGCTGAAGTCCAGGTTCCACAGTCTATTTTCTGTTTCACTCGATTTTGGTTTGGAGGGACAAGGGCATTAGTTAGAAAGGTCCCGTTTGTTACAGCGTAAAGGGCTTTGTTTACCCATAAAGTATTAGCAGCAGTATTTCTCCTGCGCGGAGAAGCCTGTGCACAGCCAGCATGGGTTCCTGGAGAAACTTGAACCTGGAGGGAAAGATTCCCAGCATGCAGTGCTCTCCCCTGTGTCGAGGAGGATGTGTGTTGGGTTATGGGAGCCACGTTCGGAGTAGCTACATTCTGATTTGCTAATTCTTCATTTTAATTTGTGCCTTATGCCTTGATTGGGCCAGCTGAGATCACTATATTTATTCAAGCTGTGATTCTTTTCTTTCTCACTTCAACTTTAAAAAGAATTTTGTATGTTGTGGCATTTAATCATTTCATGTCCAGTAACAATTGATATTTTTGTTAAATGATGAGGAGTCTAGTCGAGCACGCTTTACTTTGATATTAAAACCCACATGACATATATTTAATAAATGCTATCTATTTTGTTCTAATACTGTCTCTGTTCTGTTTCATCCATGACTGTGTAGAAGGGATAGACCCTCAGCAGGCCAGGCTCTGAAATGGGTGTCAGGGTCAGATGCTGTGGTTGTTCATCAGTTGGTCCATAGACTGGTGAGGTATAAGATTGTATTCCTTTTCAAATCCTGAAATTCATCTTCTTAACATACCTTCTGAGAAGAGCAAGATATATCTATGATCACAAAGAACTGGATCTTTCTTTTTAAGATAGACCTCCAGAACAATACTCACAGTAAAAATAAGTGGCAGCAGGTTCTTGAGATGCCTCAGTGGTCAAGAATGCACATTGAACCAGGCACAGTGGCTTGTGCCTTTAATCCCAGCACTCAAGGAAGCAGAGGTAGGTGGGTCTCTGTGAGTTCTTGGCCAGCCTGGTCTACAAAGCGAGTCCAGGACAGCCAAGGCTACACAGAGAAACCCTGTCTCAAAAAACCAAAATAAATAAATAAATAAATAAATAAATAAATAAATAGCCCTCCAGGCCTGGAGAGATTGCTCAGCAGTTAAGACTAACTAACGTTCTTGCAGAGGTTCTTTTCTTAGAATCCATGTGGCAGCTCACAACTGCCTGTAACTCCAGTTTCAGGTGATCTGACACACACATATAGACATGTAAAAATAGAAAATAAACAAAAATGTGAAATCCCCCTTTCTTCAAAGCCTCTCTTATTTCATCCAGTTTGGGAAATGCAAGCAAACCAAGTAGTTCTGTTGAATAAATCATACTGAGTCAGGATAAAGTGAAAAAAAATCTCTGTGTGTGTGCATGTTTCTACATGTGTATGTATGTGACATGTTGTGTGTACATGTATGTACATGTGTGTGTAAGTGTATGAGTGCACACATAAGTGTCACACACAAACCAGAGAACTATGTCAACTATCCTTCCTCAGGTACCATCTGCCTTATTGTTTTATGAGACAGAATCTCTCATTGGCCTGGGACAGGCCTAGTAGGCCAGACGTGCTCCCAGAGAGCCCAAAGATCCTCTCCTTACCAACTCCAGTGTGGGATTACAAGTGCATGGTAGTACACCCAGTTTCTCTCTCTCTCTCTCTCTCTCTCTCTCTCTCTGTTTTACAATGGATTCCAGGAGATCCAGCTCAGATCCTTGTGGTTGCACAGCAAATATTTTACCACCTGAGATATTACCAAAAATGTGCACTCGTATGGCCAAATTTGTGTTTAAACTGCCTGAAGGACCTTAGGTTAGTCATAAAAGCTCTGTGAAGGACATCTCCTCCTCTAATGTTGGACGGTCACAGCAACTTGCTAGGCTGACATACGTGGAAACAAAGTTTGCATAGGAAGTGTTCACAGGCCTGGGTGCCTGGGCAGTAGCTACTGTCACTCTGGAGGTCTGTTTTAGAGCATTGATGGCTTCTGTGTGGCCCTTGAGGGTAATGAGGAACCCCGCCCTCTGGGAATCAAGGAGTGCATCCAGGAGAGGCGTCATCAGGATAGCAGATAGGGAAGCTGGACCCACAGGGAGAATGGGGTCATCCTCAGAAGTCGGTGTCCCTGGAAAAACTGGCCTGGAAGAGGATTCAAAGGGGAAAACAGGGATTCAAAGAAAGCCATTGTTAATGAGGCCAAAGGCAGAAATGAAAACCATCTGCAAGCAACTCCATATTCCCCAGTCTCTCTCTTTTAAAACAAGCAGAAAGAAGAAAGAGAGGCAGGCAACCAGGCAGACAGTCAGGCAGGCAGGTAGACAGGCAGACAGATAGACATGTTTAAAGCATCATGCTGCTGTCAGGGCCCTCATGTTTTTCATAGATCAACATGCAGTGAATTCTAATGGCTAAACTATCCAGGAAGACTACTAAAGAGAGTTGGTGCATTGTGCAGACTGAAAAACCTTTTTAGATTCTTGGATAAAAATCACATCTAGGGAAGGCCAATGAAATGGCTTGACCATTAAGGGCACTTGCTATGTAGGTAAGTCTGACAGACAAGTTTGGTCTCTGGTGGTTTGCATCTGTATTCTAGCCACCTGTATGGAGAGAAGAGAGGCAAAGAGATGGGAGAATCATCTAGAAGCTTTTAGGCCAGCGGAACGCCTCTCTCTACAGTGGGCAGATAGAGAGAGAGAGACCCTGCCTCAAAAACAAGGTGGAAGGAAAGAGCTGACTTGAGAAGGTTGTTTTCTCTTCTGACCTCCACATACACTGTGGCGTGCATGGGCCCACATTCCAACAAAGAGCATGAGTGTTGTGTAGGATGGGGGCGGTGGAGGATTCTAATATTAGCACAGTAAATTCATTTCTCCAGATTGAAGAACAACAGTACATATGAGGGCTTCAAAACAATGAACAAATTTTATTATGGTGCTTTAAGTTGATATTTTCATTTCATTCCTCCCTGGCTTTCTCAGGAGCACACAAGAATATGTAACATTTACCTGTTCTATTTTCAAAATACGTATGAACTTCCATGGAGAAGTAGAATCACATGGTTTTTAGTAATATAGGCTCTGCGGTCCAACTGCCTGAGGGTACTCCTGGTGTGTGCCTATGCAAGTCACGTGACCTGCCAGAGCCCCTGTAAACAGGACAGAGGCAGTTGCTTCCCGATGGAGCTGATGTGTAGAATGACTAAGCCAGTGCTTGGACAAGTCTAGAATAGTAGCCTGTACACAGTAAGTATTTAATAGATGCTACCAGCATCATTACATGTCCCATAAGTATTTTGGCTTCTTGTGGTTAAGGTCTATGTGTACATATAATATAGAAGATACCATGTAGAACCTATACCATTACATTTATTTTTATTTTCTTTCTTTTTTAATCCTAAAGTGGCCTTAAGCTCTTTTGTAACCAGAGATGACCTTGAACTTCCGATCCTCCTGCCTCTGTCATTCAGTGCTGGGATTGCAGGTGTGTACCTCTGTGTCCAGTTATGCAGTGCTGGGGATAGAGCCCAGGGCTTTGTATGCTAGGCAACAGTCTATCAACTGAGCTGCATCCCTAACCCTTGCACCATTGTGTCTTTGTAAAAAGATCGCGTGTGCCTGTGGCTGTGTGTCAATATACGTACATATGTGTGTGCAGGTGCCTGCAGAGGCCAGGAGAGGGTGTTAGGTTTCTTGGAGCTAGAATTAGTTGTGAGTTGCTTGCTGTGGGTGCTGGACTCAGCTCCTTATGATTAAGCAGCAAGTGCTCTTAACTTCTGGGCCCTCTCTCCAGCTCAACCTTTTTTTTTCAATATAATTAATTGAATTCTATTTCATTCAAGCCACCATGATTCAATTAACCTATCCTGTCACACTGGAATTTCAAAGGCTGTTTTTACTCATTCTTAAGGAATTCATCTTCTGCACACATCCTTGGACATTCCCCTAATTGTTTTCTCAGGTTAAATTGCTCAAAGAAGAATTGCCAGTCCTGACAGTATGCAAGCTTTAAATCTTTCAATGCACAGGGTCTAATTTGTTCTGTGGAAATTTGTGTTTGCTGAAATCCACCACTACTATGAGGGTGTGGCTTCCCGAGCTCTCTGTCGACCTTTGCAATGACAAGTGGAGTATATAAGGAGTTTCTTTCTTTTGGTCGACTTGTCCTTCCAAAAGAGAGCAAGAAAACTTCCTGCAGAACATTGCTCTTGGATAGCTGATCTCACAAGTTTACACTTGTGGGTTGTTCTGTCAGGGTCCAGAAGGGCCTCAGCAGCTGATAGGAAAGAAGAGGACTCGGAGGGAGTACTCTCCTGTAATCCCATACCTGCTGCTCAGTGAGGCAGCACTGTGTCAGAACCCATCATGGCTGTATAATAACATGGTAAGGGCATGTGGGAAAGGCAGATGCCACAAGATGCAATAGGAAGTCAGGGAGACTGTGGGGCCAGCCCCACTCATTTCAGATCTGCTCTCCTGAGTACTAAAGGGTCCTACAGAAATATTTCAGTCGCTTCTATTCTTAATGATGTAACCACCGTCCCTCAGGCTTCCGTCCTTCAAGTATTCAGCTCTCTCCGAACCACCCTGGGGAACAAGATTCCAGCAAATGAACTTTCAGGGGACAAGCCAATCCTCAGTGAGAGGAGGTATGGTTGGGTAAGCAGGCAGGTAAAAAGCACGCCTTCTTTTCCTCAGACCTGAAGATGAGAATATATCCAGTGGATTCTGTTTGGGAAGAAAAAAGGAGACTGAGATGTATTTATAGAAGGAAAGGTCGGAAACAAGGGGATCAGAACAAGACATCTGCTAAACAAAGCCTTGAAGTAATTCATGAGGCAGAATTAGCTAATACCCGGTGAACTGTATGTGTCAAAGCACATAGGGCCTGTTTTTCTCTATTCTTTCCTTCCTGCTTTCTCCCTCCCTCCCTTCCTTCCCCTTCCTCTTCTTTACATGTAGGTATCTGATTGTCTCCCGCAGTTGCTGAGAACACAACTCACTTGCTGTTGCCTTTCCCTTGCTCAATTCTTGAACCTTAGCTGGCTCCAGAGGCCTGAGTTCAATGCTGTGCTCTTGGTTCTGCTATCGTGACCCGGTTGCCTGGATTGACCTGATGACAGTAGATTTGTCATAGGCTGTTAAGGTCAGGTGGCATCTACTCTCCAATCCATTTCATAATTGTCCCCATTCTAGGTCCTCTGCATGTTCACACTGATTACCCAGTTTGTGCATTCTCTACAGGGGGAGGGGCTAGGACACTGCCTGACGCTGCTAGGGCTCACCCTGGATGGTTGGACCACAGAACACCCAGCCCCAGCGCTGTCAGTCGGGCTAGGACACTCCATCGTCAGACAAGAGCCTGGGGTAGCTTCAGGCTATCAAGGCTGCTGCCTCCTCAGTTGGGAAGCTAGTAGGAATACAACTTCCACTGGGTATTTTGATAACTATATAGTTTAATCTTTGTGGAATTCTGAATAAAATATTATAAAAAAAAAAGCCCATAATTTTGCCCAAGGGCCATAAAACTGGTGTAATTTGAATGCAATAAAATATAAGCAAGCACCAAACAGTTCT